CTATAGGGATTTTTAATATCTGAATCCTAGAGTGCTTTGTTTATTTTTGAGTTTTCTTCAAGATTTTCTCACTACTTGTGACCTCTAAATGAATTTTAGTTGTTAGTAATGCTGTCATTTGCGTCACTTTTAGGACATAGGTAGAAAAAAGTATTTTAGGAATTTTTTATTCTATTACATTTAAGGGTTCATAAACATTGTCTGTAAAGGATTATGTTTCAATTGGAAATGAGCAAAGGTAAACACATCTACATGGTATAATAGTGGTTAAGGATACATGCAATATCTTCACTTGCTGCAGATGTCAGCTGTGATAAACCTTCTATGTAATTCAAGCACGTTTCTGCTGTTACCTGGTATAGAAGATCTACAGCTGCCAGATTTGAAGCTTCAGACTGATGAAGACACACATATAGTTGAGCATAAGTGTAGGAAAACATACAGTTCTGCCACTTCCACACCTTATTTTTATGTGTTTTAGCACCTTTAAAACTTTAATCAGCATTGGGCTCCACCAGAACAAATTTTCTAGAAACCAATGTAGTTATTACAAAACAAAGTGAGAACAGAGTCCTTCAGTCATATCATACTTAAACCATGTAAACTAGACTACAGATTACTACAAATTTGATTCCATAAAAATTGGAGAATATGAATGTTTTAACTTCAAATTGTTCATAATTACTTCCAGAAAAAACAACAATTAAGCCAGGCATTAAATGCTTTTATAAAAGATAGCTTTATTGTTCTAGAACTCTTTTCAACCACAAAGAAGAATTTTATGTCACTTAAAGGAATACAACTGCAACTAGATATGATTATATTAAGAAAATTAAATCCATCTTTGAAACACTAATATTGCATAGTCTTTTATTTGTTGATCCCAAATTTTCAAAGAAGTTTCAAACTGTATGTGCATAGAATAAAGGGAATAAGTGAGTAAATAAGTGAACAAAGGGAATACGTGAATAAACAATATAAGAGATAGGTGGTGGGGTGAAAGCAGCACAAGTGGATGTTTATGGAGGAAATAGGCTCAAGGTGCATTATATACCTATGAGAAAATGATCTTATGAAGTCAGCACAATAAAATTAACACTGTTAATTTTTAAGTGAAATATTTTACAACACCAACATAATAAAACCAAATGAATGAGGTTTTCCCAATGGATCATTCTTTACATATATGCTACCATACTGAATAATTTTAGCTTCATATGGAAGCACACATCCAAATGATGGATGGATTGTGCTGCTGTAGAGCTAAAAGAGAAAGATTCGAGAGTAGCTACTTGATAGACATTTGCTTCCCCACATACTGACCACTTGGAATAATATGCTATCCTAAATATCTTAATTTAAATGTATCTAACAATAGTTACACATCTTTGTTAATACATTCCACATAAGAGATGGAATAAAATAATAAATAAATACACTTGTTTTTTAAAACATAAAATGTATTTCACTAGTTATTTTGTAAAACAGAAAATAAATCAAATCAGCTTAGAAAAATACTTTGTATATCCTGTTTTTGTTCATGTGGTTTTGTGTAATTTTGTCTAATATTCCCAATTTATGCATTTCTTATGGGAATGCATGACCTTTAAGACATTAGCAAAGGCATATTTGATTTATGTGGTTTTTCTTGTCATCATAAACTTACATCTTAGGTCCAATTTTTGTTCTGGAAAATGACAGATTTTTTTAATGTATTGATTACTAATTCTTTATGTGCTTGTGTGCTTTTGATAGCACATGGTAACTTAAAGGGATGCAGTAAACACAGAAAGATTATCAAGTGACAGTACCCAGCACATTTCATTTATACTCCCCTTTATCTCAGTCTTTTTGAGAGGTATAAGTGTATCCTAGTGAATAACTAAAATAAAAACCTTTAAATATAAAATCAACACTTACTATAAAAGACAGTTGTATAGTCTTATCCTCTGAGAAAATATCTACAGAAAAAAATCTGCATTTATGCAAGTATACAAAAGTTAATAGAATAAATAAAAATTAATTTGTCAAACTTCATTATTTCCCGACACACAAAAAATTGATCTCTAAATTAATTATGTTACTTTTTCTATTCAGTCCACTGAAGTGAAACACTCAAACAAGTTCTTTCTTTAAGGAGATATGATAGGATTGACATACCTCATATGTGTATTAGTACCTAACAATGCAATGGTAATGATTTAAATTTTGAAACACCAATGATGAAGAATTTCAATAAGCAAAAAAAAATCTCCTCTCTTTAAAGAACTTGAAGTAGAATCTCACTAAGGCCCCCTTTTTTCCTGTTTAGAAATATGTCCTTGTATATTAAAGGTCCAGGAAAATCAAACCTTTCCACAAATTTTCATAATCAAAGATAATCTCTACAAGAAAAACACAATATCTCAAGGACTAAATACCAAATGACAGCATGCTCCAGCTTGGCTGTTGAGTTTTCAAAGGCTGCTAGATCATTTAATTAGAAAATACTTCTTTAATTTATATTAGCTGTGTGGGCATCTCTATTTTAGTAGATAAGCTAATTAAAATATTTGGAACGAATTCAAAAGACATAATGTCACTTGGACAGGCTTATTCACTTCCATAGTTTCCAGAGATAAGGGCCTCAGATATTGCTAGAAATGAGTAGCTGACTTTTAAAGTGCTTTGGAAAACCTATGATGTGAGAAAAAAATTGTCAAAGTGTAATGTATAAGAACTATAAGTTACATGTTATGATGCATTTACATAATACAAGCAATGATTAAACCAGCATGAAATGTTAGCAGCCTTGATCCCTGTAGATAAGGACACTACAGCAAAGCATGGTCTCAGTAAGTTCAGAAAGCCTTGAGGTGCCAAGTCTGATAACTGAGCCTTTTGCATCTCTTCGAGCTGAAAATTGGTGTTTTAACTTTTGGAGAAACAAATTTGTTAAATTAAGCATTGGATCTTTATGATTAGTTCCATAATGATCTTTATTATTTTCATCTTATCCCTTAATTTCTATCCAATATCAAGCTATCTTTGCTATTAGAAAAAAATTGATTCTTTGTTTGAGGGGCACCTGGGTTGTTTCCAGATCCTGGCTACTACAAATAGTACTGCTATAAACACTGTTGAGCAAATGTCCTTGTGATATGAGTGTGCATCCTTTGGGTATACGACCAAAAGGTGGTATTGTTGGGTCTTGAGGTAGATTGATTCCCAATATTCTGAGAAACAATCAGTGATTTCCAAAGTGGCTGTTCAAGTTTTCACTCCCACCAGCAACGGATGAGTGTTCCTCTTACACCTCATCCTCTCCAGGTTAAGCTATCATTGGTGTTTTTGATCTTAGCCATTATGACTGACTTAAGGTAGAAACTCAGAGTTGTTACCATTGCATTTCCCTGATGGCCTAGGATGTTGAGCATTTCCTTAAGTGTCTGTTGGTCATTTATAATTCTTTGGTTGAGAATTCTGTTTAGATCTGTGCACCATATTTTGATTAGAATATTTGGTAATTTGATGTTTAGTCTCTTGAGTGTTTTATGTATTTTGAAGACCAGTTCTCTGTCTGATGTGGGGTTAGTGAAGACCTTTTTCCAATCTGTGGGCTGACATCTTGTCTTAGTGACTGTGCAGTTCCTCAGCTTCAGGAGGTGCCTTTAATTAATTGTTGTTCTCAGTGTCTGTGCTACTGGTGTTCTATTTAGGAAGTGATCTCCTGTGTCCGTGCATTCAAGGCTACTTCCCACTTTCTCTTAAATGAAGTTCAATGTGCCTAGATTTATGTTGAGGTCTTTGATCAATTTGGAGTTGAGTTTCATGCATGGGGATAGATATGAACCTACTTGCATTCTTCTACATGTTAACATCCAGTTAAGCCAGCACTATATGCTGAATTTGCTTTCTTTTTTCCACTGTATTATTTCAGCTTCTTTGTCAGATATCAGGTGTTCATAAGTGTGTGGTTTAATATCAGGGTCTTTAATTAATTCCATTGAATCAAATCTATCTGCTTTTGTAAAAAGCATCTATAAAAATTGTCATTTTTACTATGTTGATCCTACCTATCTAAGAGCATAGACGATTTCTCTGTTTTCTGATGTCTTCTCAGTTTCTTTCTTCAAAAACTTAAAGTTTTTGGTATAGAGGTCTTTCAGTTCTTTGGTTAATGCTATCCAAGGATATTTTGTGTTATTTGTGGCTGTTTTAAATGGTGATGTTTCTGATTTCTTTCTCAGCCCCCTTAATGTTTGTATATAGAAGCGCTATTATTTTTTTGAGTTGATCTTGTATCCTGCCACATTACTGAAGATGTTTAACAGCTGTAGGAATTCCCTTGTAGAATTTCTGGAGTTATTTATGCATACTATCATACCATTGTAAATAGCAAAAATTTGATTTATTCCTTTCCAATTTGTATGCTTTTGATCTTTTGTTGTCTCATTGCTCTAGCTAGTACTTCAAGTATTATGTTAAATAGATAAGGAGAGAGTGGACAGCCTTGTCTTGTTCCCAGTTTTAGTGGATCACTTTATGTTTCTCTCCATTTAATTTAATGTTGTGGTACATTTCCAAAATGGAGTACTACTTAGTGACAAAAACAATGATATCTTGAAGTTTGCATGAGAATGGATGAGTAGAAAAAAAAAACTGTCCTGATTGAGGTAACCTAGACCCAGAAACACAAACATGGTATGTACTCATTAGTGAATACTAGATGTAAAGCAAAAGGTAAACAGCCTAAAGTACATAATCCCAGAAAAACTGGGTAGAAAAGAGAAGCTTAGAAGAGATACACATGGATCACCCTGGGAAGGGGAAACAGACAGAATTTTCTGAGAAACTTGGAGTCAGGGCTGTGGGGAGAAGGGAGGGTAAAGGGGGAAAATTAGGGAGAAGGGGAGGAGGAGGAGATGAGAAATGATTTTCACCATAATTTTCACATATATATTATCTACATGGATAATATATATGTAATGAAGTTGTTACACTGAACTTCATTCAGAGATATACTTACTATTCAATGAAAATTTAGTGGAGATAGAATATAATTCACTGTCATCATTTTACTCATTTAAGAAGGAGAACAAGTGTCCATAAAACAGCTCTAGTTATTTTTAAACACACAAATCCCCAGGTTTATGTATTGCTAGCTTTGCACATTTGACCCCAGAGCTTCTTCATAACCTTTTTGACCTCCTCATTTCTGAGGGTATAGATTAAAGGGTTCAGCATAGGTGTTAACAGGGTACAAAATACAGTCACAGCTTTGTCATTGGGGAAGGAAGTCATAGGCCTCAGGTACAGGTATGAGCAAGGTACAAAAAATAAGACAATGACAGTTACATGAGAAGCACAGGTAGACAGGGCCTTGCGACGACCTTCTGAACTGTGATTCCTCGGGGAGTGAAGGACGGCTATATAGGAAACAGCCAACATAGAGAAAATGAGCAAACAGAGTGACCCACTGTTTGCATCAATCAGAGGCCCAAGAGTGTGAGTGTCAGTGCAGGCCAACTCGAGGAGTGGTACTAAATCACACATAAAGTGGTCAATGATATTTGGGCCACAGAATGGTAATTGGGCCATAAATAAAATCTGTATTCCTCCATGGATGAATCCCAGGATTATAGCAGACCTCACCAGGAATATACACACAGGTCGGCTCATGATGGTTATGTAATGCAAGGGCTTGCAGATGGCTACATAGCGATCAGAGGCCATGGAAATCAGCAAGATGATTTCAGCTGCAGTGAAAAAATGCTCAGTCAAAAGCTGAGTCATGCAGCCATTGAAGGATATGCTGCTTCTCTCAGAGATCAAGTCATAGATCATTTTGGGTGCTATGGAAGAAGAGTAGAAACCATCTATAATGGACAAGTAGGACAGAAAAAAGTACATGGGAGTAGCCAGGGCTGGGCTGGTGAAGATGGTGACTGAGATGAGTGTGTTACCTGCCAGTGTGATCAAATAGATTACTAAGCATACAATAAATAAGAGTTTCTGCAGATCTGGATCATGAGTCAAGCCCAGGAGGATGAATTCTGTGACACTGTTCAACCTTTCATTGGTTTAGTGCAGGCTGAGGCCATATGGTCATCTGAAAAAAAGATACAGTGTCCCATTAATGTTATTATAAAACTTAACTGAAATACTTTGTTATCTCATTGTTGTAACTGCTGAAATAGAAAAGCTACATTTACTTCTACACTTAATATCACTTTGCAGACAATTTTGAAGATGGGAAGTAGGTTAGCTTACTACTAATACTTTATTATAACATCACGAAAAAACAAAATCTTATGCTTGTTGGCTGAAAGTTATGTGTCAACCTAACAAAAAAAACCTAGGGATAATCTCAAACTTGACTTTCTTCATTGTTTTTTTTTCTTGTGGGAAAATATAAATCTCCACGTATTTGAAACTACATTTGCACATGAATGTGAATGTTAAAATCTAGGAACACACTGTACATGAAATTTATTGGGACACTAAAGAACAAAAGCCATACTGGATGTAAGACTTCTGTATGATTCCTCTGTACTATATGAAGTACATGAACCAGGGACAGACAGAACTACAGGGAGAGTTACTTTCTGGATTACAAAAGAACATCTTTTTACAGCTCACTGAGTATAATTAATCTAGAACAGCAGCTTTTCTGCCTGACTTACAACATCCCTTCTTTCATGATCCCACTCTTTGCACATGTAAAGGCTCCAAAGTCCTTCTGTGTCCTCACAGTATTTCATAAATTTTCCCAGATGTTGAACTATTTCCTCATTTAGGATTATGTTCAGGGCTAGGTAAAATTCTGCTGGGCACTCACTGTTTGTAATAGAGTTATATGAGGTGAGTGTGCCTAGGAGAGGGCTGGCTAAGAAAACAGATTTTCTGTTTTTGGTATACATCCAATCAAATCAGTGAATTTACAGTTTTCATTGATAACCGGTGGGAATGTTGATGTTATCCAAAAATGTTTTCTTTTAATTTCTATACATGTGGACTTTCACTAGCATGGCGGTGTTTCTACAAAAAGAGGAGAAATTTTATTCTTTCTCTTTCCCTTTCTGCCTCTTTCCACAACACCTGCCACAAAGCAAGCAAAATAATTTTCTTCCCATGACATCCACATTCTGGATGGAGAGGTCAGCATCAAGGCCCCTCACCCACAATATGAGTGAGGAAAATACATTTGGTTTTTAGAGAAGCTTAGTCTCTGAGTGGCTCCCTTTTATTCACTGGACCTGTATATAGGGACTAAATGGTTAATCATTCTCAATGTACTTAAATTAAAGTTCTAACTTCAAAATATCAGTGTGGAAAATGGAAAAAGTGAAAAGTCCTCAAGATGTTATAAACAAGACTTCAGAATCAGAGTATTTAATGACGTTACTGAACATAGTAATTTAAAAATGACTTTAACCATTCTCAATATCACCTACTTGATTATTCCTACAGATTATTTAATGTTACTGTGTTTCATGTTTTTATTTTCATAGCAAAATATTATATTTTGAATCCACAATAAGATTACAAGTTCCAATTCAGTAAGAATAAATTGTTCAAATCAAGTGAATCGCCTTAAAGTATGTAAAGAAACAATGCAGTGTAGTTGAAAATAGAGATGTCCTTGTTTGAAGTTTAGTGTAGATATTGTTTCTTTTCCTTTGAATATATGCAGCACAATTTTCCACAGACTCTGTGAACTGACATCTCTCTAGACAGTTCTCCAGTGTGCATATTTTCATTCTTTTTATTACCAGTGTCACAACTGACTCTGAAACAAGCTATTCCTGAGATATATTTGTAGACATGTGTTTCCATAATATGTAAATATACTTCAAGTTAAAAGGACTTGAAATAAGGCCAAATAATTCAAATCAGAAGGCATTTGTGTATTGCACTATAAAATGTGTGAGTGCATAGAAAAGCTAGAAAGGATCTGATTTCCTTTATCACTCTGGGTGTCTGCTTTGCTTCTTAGTAGCCTTTGAACATTGTGTAGAGAGAATTTCTTTCCATCATAACTCAGGTTTTCCTGTAACTTACCTTTGTATAAACTCACTGAGACCAAGCAGTGTTTCTTAAACAAATCTTGTTACCACATCTCTATTCACTGGCTCACAAAACCTGTGGAATTCCTTCTTCCTTGATGCTAAACAAGTGTTTAAATAGATTTCCAGATATGATATAGGATCTGGTAATGTTTTGGTCTCTCAAGTACCCAAAGGACTGATAATTGTTTCTGTTGAAATACTTGCCAAGACAGAGTTGAGGTCATCTGCACACTCCCACTTGGTGCCCACAAACTTCATTAGCAGTGACTTATTTTAGGAATGCACTTGGGTGTGTGTTAAATTGGTATATACATTGAAGTTTAAGATAAGACCTGAGTGCTATATTTTTGAAAGCTCTTTATTAAAATTTTGTAAATTTATCTTGTTAATTATAGTTTCATTGATGCTGGCCTAGTATATGGAGTAGTTTTAAGTATAGTTTATAATTCAGAGAGTGGCCTTATCACAAAAAACGTGATTAGGTTAAAGGATAATGTTACTTAAAGGTTGAAATGACAGTACCCAGGAATTAGGGATTTTGATATTTTCATTAATGGCCCATTTAGTCAACAAGATAAAACAGGACACTTAGCTACTGGACAGGAATTTTTTAAAAGTCAGAGACACCATTTTTCATTCAATGTGATTGCCTACCTCACATGGTGTCCTGTGTAACTGAGAAGCATGAAAATTTTATCTTCACTACAAAAAGAAAAGATACTGATTCTTAAAGTTAGGTGCCATATTCTCAGTAAGTAGGAATTGAGAAAGTCACACATACAAGGATTTATATATGAATATATGAACAGAGTTAGGGAAGAGAATCACTCTACAAAAAAGGTTCCAGTAGCTCCTGAGGTGATGTCAAACTCACTGAACCATCATATGTAATTATATTTCTGTTGATGTTATCAGTCTTTGAATTTAAACAAGAGAAATATGCTCCTGAATTCAAAGACCAATGAAGCAAAGCAAATCTTCCAACTCTATTGTTAATAGTCAACTTTTGGTGCCTTTGTTTACCACCAACCTCATTCATGGGCCTCTCTATATTTAATAAATTCAATTACAAAGTTTAGTTTGGTGCCATTAAACATATTCACATTATTATAAACCATTTTCTCATCAATATCTATGAAATTGTTGAGGTCGTGATAGACTATGGGAAATTTTGAAGATGGACTAAACACTTTATATTATGATATTGTTACAAGCTTATAGGAGCCAGGGAGTAGAATGTGGTAGTTTGACTGTAACTATCCCCATAATCTCACAATGAGTGCTACTATTAGGTGGTATGACCTTATTGAAGTAGGTGTGGTCTTGCTGGAGGAAATGTGTCACTGTGGAAGCAGCTTTGAGACTGCATATAAGATCAAGGTACCCACTGTCTGAGCCCACTTCCTGTTGCCTTCTGATCAAGAAGTGGTCAGCACCATGTCTGCCTCCACTCTGCCATGCACCTGTGATGGTGGAGAACGGCCTGAGCTTGGGTGTGCTAACACTGGATCTCTAGACCATGCTGGCTTCAAATGCAGAGATCCACCAGCCTCCGCCTTCTGAGTGTTGGGATAAAAGGTGATCACCCCCATACCCAATACTAATCTTTTCTTTAGTTCCTTTTTGCAAGTTGGAAAAATAGCTGGTTGGGATCTTGTCCTGAGGTCACCACTCCATTTATTCTATTTCTTAATCTGTTTATTTCCTTGAACACAATACTTAGCTCCATTCAACTTCCTGGTTATGTTTCTCCTCAAAATTTCTATTTTGGAATTTACCATGCTCAGCTTTCTCCTTTTCTTTTTAAATCTTTGTTAAAGTTACCACTAGTAACCACTCAACATAGATTATACTAGGCTGTTTTGAGATTTCCACTGCCAGGGGAATTAATTCAAAGCTCTTCACAATTGCAATAGTTACTTGTTATTATACTCTGGTCTTAATATCTATAATTTTAAAACACTGAAATTAGTAAATGTTACAGAATATCTGTTTACACTGTAAAGACATATCTTTACCAAGACCCCTTCTGATTGGTTTAATAAAGAGCTGAATGGTCAATAGTTAGGGAGAAAGAGGTTAGGCAGAACTTTGGGAGCCTAGTCTGTTTGGATGCACACCTTTCTAGACCTGGAGGGAGGGGGGGCCTTGGACTTTCTACAGGGCGGGGTAGCCTGACTTCTCTTAGGACTGGATAGCGAGGGGGAGGGGGGAGAGTGGAAGGGAAATGGGAGGATGTGGAAATTTTTAATAAATAAATAAATAAATGCAATTATCGTGTTCTCTCACCTATATAGGGGTGCTGAAACCAGCCATGTCAATGATATAAGTAGAAAGGTAATGGCCAAGGATTTAAGATAGATGAATTCTGGAGAGGCACTGCACAGTCAAGTGACTGTACTTAATGATTCTATATCACATACTTGAAATTTGCCATGAGGGTAGGTGTTTCTTATTATAAAAAAAAGCAGTTAGCCAGAATACTAAATTCCTTATTATGTGTGCTTGCTGTCATTATGATATATTGTGAACATATAAAAGAAGAGTAATTTATAAATCTTAAATTGAACTACTTTAATAAAATATATTAAGATATAGATTGAAAGAAAACCAACATTTGGAAAAAAGTACTTTTAAGGCTCCATTAATACCCTTAGTACTTTAACAAGAAAGAGTTAATTTTCAGAGCAATTTTAATACTTATATGAAAATTGAAGCTGCTTCTGTGATGTTACTCATAAAAAATTAGAACATATTCCCAATTTGAAGTTATGTTGCTTTGATACCAACAATATTTTGATTTCTTAATCTGAGATCACATGAGAAAGTAATGTTAAAAGCTTTCATTCCAATTCAGAGAATACAATTCCCTACTCAACATTTTTTTTCCCAATGATGTCTCTCCAGAATATCTGCTTCCAAGACAAATCCTTTCCATCAAAAGATATAATTAATCCCAGGTGAAACACCAACAGTTACAAGTCAGTGCCTCGGCACCTATGTTGGTCCTCTTTAAATATCAGTATAGTTCAAGATGTAAAAAGCTTGTGCTGTTAATATCTCTAGGTCAGGATTCATCAAGAAAAGAGTGATCTGTCTATTTCATCCACACTATCTGCCTTCCGCCCTTTGGAAACAACAGTTTTGCATTGAAAATCATTTCTCTGTATAAATATATTAAAATTCAAATATTGAGTTTTCTGTAACATTGTTTAGAGACTTTAGAAGAGAAGATTTGATTTAACAAAGACTCAACATTTGATTTCACATCAAGTTATCCAAGTGATTCTGTTTCTAACTGTTGTGTACATTTTTCATTAAAGTTAATTATTCCAATGAAAGTTCAGTTTGAAAATCACATTGTGTTTGGATATTTCCAGACATTATTAGAATCATCTAAGATGAACAAGATAAGTTTCATAGTGGGACTGATAACTAGAAAGATTCTTACTTTGCTCATATGATGATAATTATTTTTAAAAGCTTTTCAAATACATTTATATATTATTTTGTTCTCATTTTAAGTCTATGACATTTAAGCATTAAACTTCTCTCACATTGTAATTGAAGTTTAAATTCTTAAGGAATTTGTAGAACACAGGTTTTTTAAATCAAAGACCATGCTTTTGCC